TGTCTTTAGAGTGACACAGCTGTTAGGATGATCAGCACAGTTTTCTGCCTCTGCTACTTCCCAGGGTTGAAAGTTTCCCACTACCTCTGAGCCTGCAAAGCAGAGACTACCACATTACCACCCTGTCTGTGTTGATAAAGGAATAGTTCTGGGCACATAACATCTGGAGTGTCTGCGCATATCACACAATTTACAGAAGTCCTTCCCTGGAAAGCTGTGGAGACAAACCAAGGGTTGTGCTTAATAACAAAAACTAAATCTCCCCGTTGAAAGGTTAGAAAAATTCCTGTATTTTCACAATGCTAAGATGAGGGGTCTGTCACTGTTACAGTGACAACATCTATGCCAGGGCAGCTGAAGGCAGATGGTCATTACACTGACAGCACTGCTAACGAGAAGGAAAAGCAGCCCTGTCTGTATGCTGACCCTGCTAGAGAAAGCTTCATTTTTAGGTACGATGTTGACTAGGTGGCCATTCAGCTGTCTGTGTCCTGTGCTTTGTGTATTGAGTGGCTACACAAGTGGAATCAATATTAAGTCAAGACATGAGCTTGAGCACTGTGTTGGTACTCTCCAAATTTTTATATTGTTAGCACAGACTCTGGTCATATTTTAGCGTGTGCAAGTTAGTACTCTCCCAGATAGTGGCCAGGAATGATCTGGGGAATAGCCTGCACCAGGGACCTTTCCCAAAAGGCAGTTTGCAGATGGTCATCCTGTTTAAGTGGGCAGGAGGGTTTCATCTGATGATGGTGAGTTCTGCTGTGCCGTGTAGCATCAAGGCCAGACCACAGTTCCTGGCTCACTTTATTTTCTTGCATAAACATAATCACTGATACCAATGAAAAAGACTTGGGATTACTTTTTTTGTGAAGTACTAATTCTGATTTTCTTCTCAGTGAGGAAGATACAGCTTTTCTTTTTTATGTCAGATGAGTTCAAAACCCAAGTCAATGGTAAAATCTTTATTAGAAGCAACGCTTTAGCCAGACCTAAGTCACACTTTACACACTGCTCTTTACATAAAAACGTATGAAGAAGAGGCAGCAGGGATGGCAAACTGAACCATCATCTGGTACAGCAGCACTGGTGTGCCATTTGCCTCTGCATGGGGAATAATTAAGTAAATTGGAGTTCCTTCCACAGGATTGCTAAAACATATAGCCAAGGGAGGCAGTATGACAGAGGTCTGTAAAATGAGAGTGGACTAAAGAAGAATTGTTTACTGCCTCTTCAGTATAAGAACTAGGGCACATCCAAAGAAACTGTCCAGTGGAATGTTCAAGACTTGAGTGGGATGCAGTGAAAAGAATTACTTCTTCACAAAACATGCGGTTAGTCTGTGGAGCCCCTTACCACATGTTGCTGTGGGTGCCAAAAGTTCACTGAGCTCTACAACTGATTGGTCCAATTCATGGAAGAAAAGTCTGTCAAGGGCTACTAAATTTTAAGATGCTACCTCTGACTATGGGACACCTTGCTCCTCCAATTGCTTAGAACTGGTGAATATTCTGGGAAATATCACAACAACTGTACAATTTCATTGATACCTGTTGTTGGCCACTGCTGGAGACAGGCTGTGGTGCTAGACAGATCTTTCATCTGCATCAGTATGGCTGTATTATGCTCTTCCCTGCCTGCTGTGCTACTCCACCATTAAACCTGTCCGTGAGCAGTTTTCTCCCATATTTATTATGCAACTGAAGTCCTGGGGGACAAGAGGGTCTTCCTCTGCCTTTCCTACCAGTAAGCAGGAGGTGGTCTCTCTCCCTTTGCTGGCCAAGAGTTGCCAAAAGAGGAGGAAGGAAAAAACACTCCTCCACCCCCAGGAAAGCTGGGGGATTTGAACAGCACTGGGTGTTAGGCAGCTTTTGTCTGCTCCCTATTTGCTTCTCTGTTCCTGAGCTTATACTGGCATTTGGATGAAGAGAGGAAGATATCACTTCCTGTACCAAATGGCTGCTCTTTCCCAGAAGGCTAATAGGTAGATCTCAGCCTGAATTGAACTCGCAGCCAAGAGAGGGTTTAACCTTTGTCCAATAGGAAAAAAATCTGACTGTGATTCAACTGTATTCCCCAACTTGTAACTCAGTCTCTAAGAGTGCTGGTTCCTGGGCTCAACACAGCAAACCCAGGATGCAGCTCAGTGGTCTGTGATAAGAAGCCACACAAGCAGGTGATCTCTTCTGGCCTCCAGGTCTGTGACCTGCTCCAAGAACATTAATACATGGTCTGATTTAAAGAAGAAGGTCTGAAACTCTAAAAGCTCTGAAAATGCTACACAGTGCATTAAAAATGAAATGGCAGACTAATTCCCATCTCTCAGCCTCTCATCTCCTAGCAGGGATACGCCTGCCTCATGAGCAATGTTAGGCACAAGGGCTTGAGTAAATTGTACAAGCACAGCTATAGTTACACGAGTCCTCACAAACTGGTGTCAGTCCTGAACTTCTTGCAAGCATGATCCCTTTTTGAGCTTGTTTGTCTTCACACAACACATCAACTCTAGCCATGGAAGAGCTAATTGCTTGGAGAATCTCACCTTAGACTGTGGCAATAGGTGTTTATACCTGCAGCCAGACGTCATAGTTGGCTCTCATTTCCCAGCCTATGGGAACTGAACTTCTGAGAGTGATAAGTCAGCATAATTTGGTTTTATTACTTCTTTCTTTTTAGGAAATGGTTGATTTTATAATATACACATAAAAAAGCCTAAATTAAATTTTTGAGATTTTTTTCCTAATCTTCCACAACCTTCTTTGCATCACAGTCATGACCAGTAGTTTGGGAAGCACTGAATCAAAGGCTAGTGTTCTAGACCTTCTATAGTCAGCAAATACTCTGCTTCTCAACTGACATCTAAAATAAAACTTCCTTCCTATTCCTTCCAAGCTCAGTTCCTTGTTTCCTCCTTGTACAAGGGCTGCCCTTCAGCATTTCCGTCAGGCGGTGAAGAAGAAAAGCTCTTTGACACAAGAAGGATTGCTTACTTCATTCCTTAGTGTGTTTGTCCTGGACTTGCATTTCCCCATATTATTTCCTTTGGTTTTTTTTTCCTTTTTCCCATAGGAAGGCATTCTATTTTTGTGCTAATACTGTGCCATGGTTGTGCTATTTTTGGGGAATGAAGGAAGAGGTGGCTGACTGCAGTAAGGTTTTCTTGTCATTTTCTGACATTCTCACCAGTACTCTGGAATGCTCATACAGATACCCGCTGAGGGATGGAGGGAAAAGCTAGTTACAGTAAACGCGGGGTTTGTTGTTTTTTTTCCTAAAATAAGTAATTCATGTAATAATACCAAACAATCTAACACATAGTGAGCGAATATCACAATGTGAAATTCTGCAAGTAGGATGCATCGTGGAGCCAACAATGACAAGTGGAATAACTCCCAGAAATCTCACAACTGAATTGACTACACCAGTTCTTCAGTGCACATTTAGAAAGATTGAGACCCATCACCCAAACTTTTCACAAATTAGCTTAAAAGATGCTCCACATAACGTTTGCCAATACACTAGTTAAGGCTCCTACTCTTCTTTCTTCCCCATGCAACTCAAAGAAGACCTGAAAGAATCTCTCCCTTCCCTCTCTTTATCTTCGATCTTAGAAATGTCAGGAATGCAATATCCTGTTTTCTTTGGTTTTGCTGGGGGGCCTTGTGGGTGCTTTAGGAAATGTTTAAATGCTGAAACTTTAATAAAGAGCTCTGTGTTCCAAAAGAACCTCATTAGTCATGGACAATGAAAGACTATTAATAGCAACATCAACAATATGCAAACAAAAAGTCAGAACAGTGTTTAAAAGCCCTTTCTTTTTTCAGATGCTAAAGATCCTCTCACTTCAGTCTTGTGATAGCCTCACTTTATTACTCTGCAGTCAGCTTTTCTGTTTGTAAAACTGTAATTTCTATTGTAAACACCCTTTCCCAGAAACTCTCTTCCGCTTTTGAAAAAAGACACCTCTTTCAAGGTTTTTACAATCCATCACAAAAAGGTAAAAGGATCCCATTTTTGTCCCTTTGAAAATCAGAATTTTCACTTTTGAAACAATGCAACTTTTAAGAACACTAACCTTGAAATAACCCAGGCTAACTAAAGTGATTTCGTACTAAGTTAGGGAAGTAGAGACTATTAGCATTTTACTGTGAATGAACCATTCACACTAACAAAATGCGATGTTTTACTGCTTACCCTTGCTAAGGCTTCTGAATTGTGACAAAAAGAAACAGAACAGATTTGCTTCTAGAGGAGAGAGAGAGTAAATACAAGCACATTTAAAATAGCTCCAACCTTCAGACTACTTATGAGGCTATGAACCTGCTTCTTAAAAAAATAAACACCTCCCCAGCCAGACTCAACTGAAGTTACAAACTTGATAAATTTGAATGTATGTCAGGTAAACTAGTAAGGAAGAATCAAATCTAATCTAAAAAGGAAGAGTACATATAGCAGAATGAAAACATAAAAGGGATGGAAAGGCCCAAATGAAATATCTACCTTTAAGCAATGTCTTTGCATTCTCTCTGCTTTTTTTGTAATGTGATCAAAGCCATTAAGAATTTATATATAGGTCAGTGTCTCTTTGGACAGCAAAAAACAACCTAGCAACACAACCAAGTCAATCCATTCTCCTACAACACAACATGTTTTTAATTAAGAAGGAATGCCAGGATGCAGGAGACCTTACAAGTTCAATAAGCCGACAGCATTCAATTTTTGCAAGTGGGGGAAAGGGTTAAACCTCTTTATTGTAAACTTCGCATGTTTTATGTTAGTGTAACTATTTAAGCCCTTTCTTGCCTTTCTGATCATGTCTTTTGACAGGAAAGGGAGTATTTGTTTTGTCTGATTTTTAACTCTCAGGAAAGCATGCTAGGACTATCCAAAAATGTCTATACTTTATTCTGACCTCTGCCTTCCAAAAGGAGTAGTTTAGGCATCATGCATTTTCCAGAGAATGGAAGTATGAAATTCCCTTTCTAATGGAAAAATCTTACCTGGGTAATCATTCTTGTCTACATCTGAGTCTCCCCTTAGAGTGAAGCCAAATCCCGAAGGCATAGACTGTGAGGCCCAGGCTCCATTCAGAACCTGGGAAGGGTTAGTATTTAACCCATTACTGTATCCATTGTAAATGAGCACTTTCCCTCTTCTGTCTTCTCCTGCAAATGGTGCACCAATAGCAATGTCTGTAGTGCAATAAAAGAATAAAAAGAATAAATAAAAATTAAAATTAAAATAAAGCAAAAATTATATCCCTGCAGGAAAACAGACATAAATGGCTTCTGCTACATACATGCAAGAACTTCAACATTCTGTACTTCTGTATGGATCCTAGTTTTAAGGCAAATACACAAGGATGTTTGTAGTGTCTTTTGTGTGTTAAACTTTCATGAGAAAAGCTTACAAAATCATCGTATGAAGGGGTAATTGCATTATAAAAAATAGCTAGTCCACAGTGATTCCTCTATCATATTTGCAGGGCATTTCATAAGCTTTAATAAAGCAAGATCTAAGGAATGCTTGCTTCAACTTCCATATTTTTAAACAGACACCAATTTTCCTTGATTTCCTCTATCACCTAATTAATAAGGAACAGCTGTTAGATAAAATTAATTTTCTTTTCCAGATAAGATATTCAACATAGACAAATAAACCCACCTCCCTCAAACATCCAGTACTTTAGTATGCAAAAGAGAACAATGGAATATGATGTTTTCATCTATACCAAGCCAACATCTTATTGAGAAATGGGAATAGTACTAGGTCAGGAATTCAACAGGAGGCCTTGAGCATTCTGCAATTAAGCACTGCAATCCTTAAAAAATGAGGTGCCATAACGCAAAGCGGAACTCACAACGCTCTTCTCATTTCCTACACATGGAACATGGAGAGAAGCATGTGTCTAGATTGAGATTCAACAACCACACTAGTTGAGCTAGCCAACAGGAAACACTAGAGGAGGATACGTATCTACAGCTCTCCTTTTTAGGTTTTCATCTAGGAGATGATGCTGGACTCCTTTATTAAACTTGACTTCAGCACCTTCACTGTAAAGGCATGCGTGAACCAAAGTTATATGACAGGCATCTTCAGTTATGAAGCAGAAGACTTTGGCTCTAGATTCTGCTAAGCCTTCTCTATACAGTCAGGGAGAAAAGGAGGAATATCTCCTCCCTTTCTTACCAGAATGTAGGAGAGCAGGGATACCAGCATTCCCTGCCCAGAGAAGCTGAGGGCTTCTGCTGTTGCTCACAGGTAGAAAACAGGAAATCTCCACCATGAGGTCCAGCCGAGCTGGACTCCATGGGAGGATTCCAGGAGAACTCAGTGAGGGTATTCTCAGCAGTCACAATCCAGTGGCTTCTTCCCACAGAATGAGATTTGGATTTTGTGTACCCTGAACCCCAATACAAACTATGGTTCCTAACATTACTGATCCCTTGCACAGGAGCCACACACTGGCAACATTGCCCTCGAGTCTAGTGGCTAGAACACCATGAAAAACAGCCCTCAAGTTAATGCTATAGGCATTTGAAAAAGGTCCCATTAGGCACCTGTTTCTTTCAGTGCCTAAGTACCAATGGAAGTCTGATTCCAAAATAGGATGCCTGTACTTGTCCAGTTCTTTCACTGTGGGAAAAATGCTCCATTTACTGAACCTCATTCAATTCTCAAACTCATCCAAGCATTTGAGGAGAGAAGGAGAACTCTACTTTTAAACAAATGCAACATCTTAACTAAGTATTTAGATGAAATTATAGTCATAAAACAACAGATAATATTTTTATTTAAATGAACATGCTAATATTTGGTAAAAATTAGCACTGTAGTCAATATTACTGCCCTCCTATAGGTAAGCTTTTCATGGTTTGTGCCTCAATATCAGTTTCGTTAAGATTAGTGTAAATTCTGGTGACTTTCAAAGGCAGCTACATGTTAAAAAGCCTTTTTCAGCCACTGCACAGAAACTTCGTATTCACTGCTTAGCTATTTTTAATTTCAGTGTTATACAGAGATATATATTACTAGATTACATTTAAATTACCATTATATCCATCTTGATTGAGATCTCCAAGGTGTGTGATTGCACTGCCAAATCTACCGAACACTTCAGTGCCTGTCAGAATTTGCGCATCTCGGAAGAGGAAAGCACTTTCTTGCAGGTATAGATAAACTTGCCCAACTTCTTTAGGCTTGCTCTCAAATTCTCGTTCCATGAAGAGAGGGGCACCAACTAAGATATCATCTAAACTGGAACAGTCAAATAAAAAACAGCGTCACTGAGAGACTGAGTGCAATCAACACAGTTCATGCATTTGTTAAACAGGAAATTGATAATTATCACAGAGTTATAGACTAACTGAGGTAAGAAGACACTTCTGGAGTTCTAGTCCAAACACTTGGTCAGAGCATAGTCAACTAAGGAAGGCTGCCCAGGGCCATGCCCACTCCAGTTTTGAATATCTCAATGGATGTAGATTCCACAACCTCTCTGGGCAACTGCTTCCACTGCTTAATCACCCTCGCAGCAAAAACGTTTCTTCCTAGGTTTACACAGAATTTCTGGCGCTTCAGTTTATGCCCTCAATAGACACTGAAAAGCTATACTTTGCAGTTAATGATCCAGAAGTCAGGAATTTAACTCAGAGGGGATCCATGTGATTAGAACAAATTCTGTAGATCTATCCAGATAACAGTGCTATTGAGAACCAAATTTTAATATAAAATTTAGCTTTTAAAAATTATACATCAGTAAGTGAACAACAGCACAATAACTGCCACTTTGCAGCAGATTTTGGAAGTAATATACAGGAAACATGGGTAGAGCATCAATTAATAAAGAATGCCTTGTCATTAATTCAAATGGAAGCTGGGAGACAAAGCCAAGGCTTTATTTCTGAAAACGCTTCTGTTGAATATTAGATATATGAGTAGTTGCAGTGCTCACATAATTTGCTATATTAATTATTGGAGAGAAAGGACATCATAAAATCACAAAAATAAGAAGCGTAGAGGGAAAAGTCCTTCTGCCCATTTTGCTACTCCAAGAAGAATCGGTAAAAAAAGACAGGCTATTGAAGGATATTGTGCATGTTGTTGTTCTAAATGGAGGTGTTTCAAAACATGTTACCAACATTTATTTAGCAGGAAAAAAAGACCCTTTACTGGACAGTAAAGAATAAAGTCAAGCAAGATTGATAGACACAAACCAAGTAGAAATAGTCTTAATAGATTATTCTGAGAAACGAAATGATAGTATCAGATTAATTTCCGAAGGTTGCTCAAGGCCGTATAAACTAGTGGAACAACTCCTATTATATTCACTGGACATTTGTCATCTATATTAAGGAACTCTGTTACTGGAAATAACTTGTACTACTTGATCCCAGAATTTTTAATTTGGAAAACAAATTGCTCTTGCTCTAATTCATCTTGCTCTAATACAAAACTTTGTTCAAAATTTGTAAAACTTGTAGAAAACTTTCAGAAAACTTTCTACTCTCAATTCATCATTTTCCCAATAGTGATATTTTCACAAAGGCTTTATCCATTTGTAAACCAACCAGTAAAATTGCATTACGTTGTTCTTCCCAATCCTGACAGAAAAAACCCTGTATGATTTAGGAGTAGCTCAGCTAATACTTTACGATAGATATAGACTATGGTTCTAAGGTAAATACTATAAATTTAGTACAGAAGATCTCATCTAGAAGCCTTTTAATCACATTGCAGAACTTACACATTCTATAAATTGTGACAAAGTGCTTCTAGAAATGTTATTTTTCTATTATAAGTTTTATAGTATGTTTCCATAAAGGAAACTGTAATTCAAAATGTCAGGTCACTTTGGTACAGTTATTCTATTCTTTATATGTCAGATTTTACCCCATGGCATGAAAAAATAAAAAAGGAAGGAAGCAGATGCTGACTTGTCATCAAAGGTGGGATTTTCCTTTCACACTAAACATCAAAAAGTCCTCCTCTACTAATGGAAGATGTTCATGATTGGGACAGAATGTCAGCTGAAACAGTTGCCATGAAACAATAGCAACAACAAAAATAGAATCACGAATGCTCTTTTTTTTTTACAAGTCATTTTATGTATGCCATGTATTAAAAGCATTACACAGTATAGCACTATCATAAGTTATTTTATTACATTCCAGTCCAGATATTCTCAGTAAGACTGGGACTCCATGGTGTTACGTGCTGTATAAACCATTAAGTAAAAGATTCGCTTGGCTCCAATGAATATTTTACAAAAGAAGGATTGTAAGACTAAGGGAAGATTTTTTAGACGTGTAAGGAAGCAAAAGATTCAGAGCCAGGAAGCTCCCTGTTCATTGATATAAAATAAGTAGATACCTAGATACCTTTTAAACTCCGGTCCATAGAGCAATACCCAGAGTGCCTAAAAAGGTGAAAAGAGAGAGGCAGACTATCTATCATCCACAGTGGCCTAAAATGCGCTAAGCAGAAGCCTAACCCAGAATACAAGATTTGCCAGGTGAGACAGAAAGCAAGCAGACAGGAGCTGGAGTTTGTTGTGCAGGGATCACAGCATCTCAGCTGGAATTGCACAGTGCTAGGTTATTTTTCTACAAAAATTTCTGCTTTGTTAAAATAAATGACAATGATTGTATAAATGCATGAAGGGAGCAGTGACCAGAACCTGATGGGTGACCTTCTGATGTGCTGAGGGAAAGGTGGGAGGAAGGCAGTCATCTAAATTACACTGACCTATTTCTAAACTGGTTATGGGCAGCAGAGCTGCATGGAACACCCGCAGCACTTCGCCTTCCCTCCAGGACTTGGCATGTCCCACCCACATCAAGCCTTCCTTTCCTCACCCTCTTGATTTCCCCCCTTCTCTGTTAGTGCTGAGCTCTGTAGGTCAAGGCAAGCTGCTTCAGCAAGTCCTCTGCAAGAAGAAATGATCCTTCAAGCAATTCTAGAGCTTGAGGTTTGGTTTTCTGGTTTGTGGGTTTTTTGTTTGGTTGGGGGGTTTTTTGTTTTTGTTTTTTTTTTTAATATTATTTTTTTTCACTGTCACAGCAGTGTACCACAACCAGAGAGGAAGGATTCTTCAGCTACCCTGCTCTCTCTGATCCTCATTTACTTATTCCTGGTTTCTCTCCAAGTGGGTAATAAGCAAGCAATTGCTGCTTACCACATTTTATAGTCAGTTTTACCTTCCAGCTCCTACAGTTTAAGTATTTAGACATCAAGCAGTCAAGGGGGGGTCACTTGTTGGGTTATAAGTATCTATGTGATTAGAATTATGCATTTTTGTTGGTGAAGGGGGATATTTCAACTGGCTTTTAAATTGTAGGAGTTTATATTTACAAAGTTGGAGTTCTGAGACAAATTCAGGTTGATGTAATTCCTTTTAAAAGGCTGTAAGAGCAAAGCAAAAGCCGCTGGACAGTAATATTAAATCATAAAGTGCAGTTCAGTTTGCAGTAGTATTTGGAACTGGTTCATCAGATTTATTTCATTACTCCACTAAGATGTTGCAGTTAACGTAAATTATATATTTATTTTTGTTCCAGCACAGAAAGGTAACTAGCCAGTATTGCTTCCCTTCTGACAAAAAAAATCTTTAAAGAGCACAAGCTGACCACCTGCTGAGACTGTATGCAGTTTCTTTGTATCCTGCCGAGTAATAAAAAGCAGGAGTATGGGAAATGTCAAGAGGTCAAAGTATAACTATGGGGAGCTTTGATATATGCCAAATAAAAGACCAGTAAACAGTTTATTCCACTATTTTTATTGGACTGTTTCAGTCTAAATTGAAAGTGTATCCTTTTTTCCTCCTTACTAGGAATGTAGTCTGTAACTTGATGGCAAATCTTGCTTGATTCGTTAAGTTTCATTGTGGATTTCTCATTATTAGCAGTGGGCAACTAAACAGTAGTTCAAACAATATCTTCAGTTTCCCTGTTCTCCCTGCAATCCTGATGCGGTGCAGATAAAGCTACAAGAGTCGCTCTGGAACACGTGCAGAACTGCTGGAGCACAAGGTCTACTGAGGTTTTTTCCTAGGATAAGACTAATCTTTAAGCCATGTCTTCAGTCTTATTACAGCAAAGCATTATGGCTATTAATGTTTTCAGCATACAACTTAATCAGGCTTCTCATACTGATAAGGCCATCACTACCTCCTTTATCTTTAACTGCACAAAAAAACCCAAGGGAATTTGAAGTGGTCATTTCCCTTTTGCTTTTTTTTTTTTCTCTCTCTGTTTTACTTTCCCTTTCAGATAAATATTTCTATTGACTATATGTGCAAACCAGCAAAGACAGACTGCATATCTAATCAGACATGTTTATCAAGTGGAGCTTTTTGTGTTTTGTTTTTCATGGGATGTTTGGATCTCAGAGAGAGTCGTTAGATTTCTTTTAAGATATAGACTGGGAGACCACACAGGCCTCAACAGCAGTTTGATTATATTATTGACATAAACTGTGGTCTTGGAGGTACACAAAAAATACGAGACCTGCCAAGTATCCCTATGGTTCACAGGAAATAACCTGCACAGGAAATAGTTTGGTTCAGTGAGAAGTTAAATAGCAAGTTCCCTGAAAGTCTAATGAGTGTCTATTGTAACTCATATTAATGTTTCTCCACCCTTTCACATTAGTAATGCATTATGGCAGGACTAAATTAATCCTGACTCTGTATATCATACAAATAGGAATTTTCAAAAACTATGACAAAATTTGGCCTCAGAAACTTGGAAAGATTTGACTACTATGAAACCACCACAGAAACTGTTGTAACCGCTTTCTTTTTTTTTTTTTTTTTTATTGGAACTGCAATAACATTTTATCAACTTGTTACTTTCCTCTTTTCTTGTATCCCTCACTCTTTAAAAGGTCACTGACAGGAAGCAATGATTTAGCCCAGAAAAAAATATTTAATGCACTACGTTTAAGCACCTAATAAGAAATAATCACAAGAAAAGAATATGAAATAGACATATCTGAGATATTTTGAAACAGGGAAGAGTATGCCACAACTCTAAATATAATCCTGGCTCACCTTTGTGCAGATTTCCAAGGTTCTGAGCTTCAGGGATACTTATCTTCTCACTAGAAAGCTAGTACCAATATTCACTTACTAAAGTCCTGATCTTCTAAAACATTTAATTAGGCTTTATATGAGTTCAAAGTTAGCAAGCATTTTGTTCAACAGAGCCCAAAATCCCAGAGTGTCTTAGGCATGACCCTGGGAGCTGAGCAGCGTTGTCCCTCAGACAAGCACAATGCCTGTCATAACAACTATGGGCCATAGACACTTCTTGGTCCACTGATTGACGAAAATGGATGGCCAACCAGCAGGTGCTGGAATGAGGAGTTGATGATATTGGAAAGCCTTTAAAATTGAGAAGTGAAGGCATCGATGTGAGAAGACAACTGCTTTTGAGAATGGGAAAATGAACTTCTGACTTCCACCTATCTCTTCCAAGCACTTCCTAGCACTGTTTATTCCCGTTCTTCCACCTGGATCTGTTTCCTAAGACTTTGGATGTTCCTGCTTTGCCAAACTGCTTTGAATAAATATTCAGGAAGATAAACTGGGCCAAACTAGGCCTGCAAATACTTGTGCCACTGTGAATGCACAAAGATATGCCTAAAGATTAGAATTAGAAAAGCAGAGAAGCCAAGAGAAGCATTTTGAGGTATGAAGCACCTGAAAACCTATGTTTATTCAGGCATTGCTTCTATGAATGTTCAGTGGAGCTGAATATATTTGGTAACCTACCCATCATTGTTAACATCAGATACTGCAACAGTGTACCCAAAATAAGACGCCATCTGGAAATAAAAAACAACAGATAGGCTTTCATATCAGATATCAATTTTCCAAATTTTTTTACTGATAATCCTCTTTGTTTCTATCGTCATTAATTCTAAAAAATATTTTATATATTCTTGAAACTATGTTAATGAAACTATATTCTCTAGAGATACAATATTTCATCACATAGTTGCTTGACATTACCTGTTCACCAGTGAAATTCTGGATAAAAGTCAAGTCTGAAGAATTAATAATCGAGACCTGGTAACAGAAAAATATGGAAAGTTTCAAGCACACATGGAGATGTCACAGTGTAACATCACTGCAAACCAATTTGACACACTGAAGGATGGTCCAAGTCACCAAGAAAATACAGTTCTTTTGTTTCACCACAGTTTTCCTGTATGACCTTGAACAATCACTGAGATTATATGAGCGTCAGGTCCCCCATGAATAAAATGGGGGAAAGACTATTTTCTTTCTTTACTGGACACTGAACAGCAAATCACAGACTATCAGCTAACCAGTGACTATATTAGTATGCATGAAAACACGAAGTTAAAACATTAATATATACATACATACATATATATGTGCACTCCCCCCACCACCCCTTTCCTCTGAAAAAATGGTATTAATAAGTTCCAGAGACACAAGGAGCTTTGGCTGGATGGGGCTTTGAGCAACCTGGTCTAGTGGAAGGTGTCCTTGCCCATGGCAGGGGGGTTGGAACTAGATGATCTTTAAGGTCGCTTCCAACTCAAACCATTCTATGACTCTATGAAAACTGGAGAACGTGTCTGTGCCTGGGATCTCTCCCAATCACGTTAGTTCTGAAACTTTTTCCTCCTATGAGGCAAAAGATGCATCCACACACATATATTGTTTTCTCCCTTCAATTCTAACTGCGTATCATGACTTTCTGCATCTGGTATTCAGTGTATATACTTAGAGCACTAAAAATAAACACTGGGTATGAATAATCTGAACTTGGACTTCTCCCCATCGTGGACACAGCATTGCACGTGAAATATGCTAACCTATGGGCAAGCTTAGGCCTGGTAACACTCAGCGGGTATAGGGATACTAGTCATACTCAAAGGATGCTTCTAATTGGCTACTGAAAAAAAAAAAAACTTCAGAAAGAACTAAGTGCTTAATATTCAAAGCCCAAACCAGTAAGGCATTTCAACACAGCCAGGTAAGCATGAGGGTGAAAGTCAGTTGCCGTTTTCTCTGGCTAGAAAGTTTGGGATCAAAGAGACAGAGAATATAATGCAGACTTTAATCTTCCAAATAGTTTAACAGCATCCTTACTATAAGAAGGATAAAATGTGGGTCCAGTACATACATAGCCAAAGTTCTGTGCTCCTCTTGGGACTCCAGCAACCAACTCTGAAAAGATAAATGATCAAGAGATCAACAGATAGCTTGTGCTATCTGAGTGGTGCATGCAACATGCACCCCATGCCACTTAAATTCTTCCTTGACGTATAACCCTTAGCATTTTGCTTTGTTATCTGCATCAGAAACACCTGTAAATCACTTCAAGCCATGAATTCACAGGATTTTAACATTCCTTCGGTGCATCTAGTTCCATGAAGTATTACACCTCAATTGCTGAATACATTCATCCAGACATCTCCTTCTGCCTAGCATTACTTAACACAGCACAGTATAATAAAGCTCTTAGTACAGTTCAGCTTGTTACCTGACAGCTGTGGCATCGATGGAACCAGAATTAGCTCTGGCATCACAGGCTAGAGTACAAAAGCTAAACACAACTGTCCTTACAGATGCCCCTGTTCCTTCTGGCTGCTCAGCCGTTAGTCTCACCTGTTGTCATGAAAGTGTTCGACAAGTTCTGCACAGGCTATCTAAAATCATTACAAGGAATTTTTTTGTGAGTGGCATTGGGGGAATCCATTGAACAATAACATGAAAGATGGGACCTAGCTGTCTTCTAGGATGTAATTCTGCTGAATGGTAAAATCTTCCACAACTAGTGGAAAAAATGGGAAAAAAAGAAGAAAGAAGAAAAGACAGCCTGCAGTCTTACTGTCTAAACCTTTCCTCATTAGATATCCGCATCAGAAGACAGCAGCAGGAACTTCAGATATCAGAGCACTTAAGACACCTGTTTGTATTGACCTTGTATTCCTCTGTTCCTCTCTGGGTTTATATACTCCCCTGTGGTTGGAAGTAGTAATGAAGGATTGAACAGGACACAGGATGACTCCCAGGTCAGCCAACAATGTGATTCTTTGTGCCAGTCATTCACGTTACTTACTGATTCAAGAACCATCCATTATAAAAATGTTAATATGCATTAAAATATATATAAAAGTGGTTGCAGCCTTCCATTACCAGGGACACGGCTTTTTCCCACATTATAGCATTCAGCTGAAAACTATTAATTTTTTTTTTCAACACATAGTAGCACAGGACAGGAAACTCTATAGGGATTAAGCAGCCACAGTTCTGGGGAGCCAGGTTCATTTGTAGAAATGTACTGTGTCTATTGGCTTTGTGAGTCTGGAACATGAAGCTGTTCACCCCCTCAAGAAAGCTAATCCTTTAAGCAATACTTTCTGACGGACTGTCAGCCTTACACAAGAAACATAGCTCTTAAGGTATGAAACACCGGATCACAGATATTTTCACTAACTATATGTTTTGACATCCTGTACAATTTCAGAACACTTGAAAATAGATAAATCATGTGCAAATCTCTATCTATAACTGATTATTTCTAACGTACTCCACAAAACAGAGAGCTGTGAGAGGAGCTTTTCCTCTACACTGGATTCAACTTGCAGAGACAAAGAAAAACTAGTGTTCAATTTCTAACATACCCACAAAACTTACTTTGCAACTTAAAAATCAGGCAACGTTCAGCTTGGTTTTAGTTCTCCTGCTACAGTACTTCATGCTATGAGTTCAGTACATGAATTAAGTGAGGTTTAAGTCTTGTTGGTATTTAGTGAAAGCCTCAGCGGTGTTGCAGGAACTGCTGCTGCTAAACCCAGCCCCTTCAGGATGGATTGCTCTGACTTTGTCCTTAGAGAATTACAGAACTATGTTACTGGAGCTGCCACCTTCCAGGGCAGGTTTCCCTGGCCATGTGAAACTAATAAATATCCTGCATCACCTTTTGCCAGAGGGAGCAACTTGAACCTCAGCGTTTGAGCTGAATTCCAAGTTATGTATTGACATTCTGCACATTTAAAACAATATTTATCCTCTAATTTGGGTCAAAACCTGTTCCTCAGTGCATGTTGCCCTACTTTATGAAATCATTAATGTAGAGTCCTAGAAGGTGATGAAGATCATGAAACATTTCAGGTGAAGGTTTCACAGTGATAACGTTTTTAAGCAATGCTATGAAGTCTGTGAGACGTCTGGTTCTTTGTGGATGACAGTTGCTGTCTAAATGAAAATTACTCTAAATATGTCCTGTATCAAACTTACTTGATCCAAGAATCTTTACAAAGTCTCAGGAGTGATTCTATATTCAGACATTTATATTCAGGGGCATTCAGCTTTTCCTAATTCAAGGGACTAATTGAACACCTCATCTTCCTGTAGAATGTTTTCTCTCCCTCTAAGCCCAGGTTTTAACAAAAGGAATTAAATTCCTCTGTCTCCTGCTGTTAAATATAAGGCTTGGGGTAGGAACAAGAGCACAGTGAACTTGTTCTTACTGCATTCTGCCTGTGCAGGAAAATTTGTATGAAAAGGGTCAGCTAATGAACTGCCCCAAACACCCCATCCTTAAGGCACATGAACTGAAACTAGGGAAACTTTTACAGGGCCTAGAGCTGCTTTCGCAAACAAGAGCTAGCATGCTGGTGTAGACACATGTCTTTGTCCAGAAGCAGCTGAGATTAGTCTCCTAGACTGGGCTGTGATGTTTATGTGGCACTCAGAAGTGTGCTTTCAGCATACACAGACATTTCCACGCCACGTTGCATCTGGCCAGCCAGATGCTGAGGTCCGTCGGCCTCTATGCAGGTGAGTAACTTGAATATGGACTGAAAGACTGTATAGGACTGCACTGTTGGCTCCACTTGTTACTACTGGTCACCAAACTGGCTAAATTAAGTGAACCTGGATGGCTCCACCTACCATGCTGTGACGGCTCTAACTGCTGAACAGATGCACGGGCACAATACCTCAATAACAGATTCAGACTTCTGGGTTACTTAAATTCTGCTCTGTTGTGCTATACCTTCTAAGGAAATACTTGCCTCTGAGAATGTTGGGTATAGATAGCTTAAGTCTCACCAGCGTCTAAATTGTATAAAAGGTACATTTCTGCATAGAGACCCAAAATGAGGAATTTAACAGGTGCATGGCCATACGGTTTCAATTCAAATATGTAGCTTCTTACCTTGTTCAGAATCCCCAGTAAATTCCCCAGCAGCCACTGAGTATCCTGTTTAAAGATAAATTACAAGCAAAACCCTCGATAAACCATTTCTTTCAAAAAATATGCAAGGACAATCAGATTTGTCTGTTTATCTGATCATCAGAATGCAAATTTTCTAACATTAGTATATTAAAACTGTGTGGAAAAAGGGAAAATTGTTTATCACATTATTATGAATAAATTAACTGTAGGTCTGAATGTATAATAAATCTATCCCTTTTCTCAAAAAATGAGCTTCTAGATCATCCATACATAATAATTTATTTGAAAAAACAGCTTGCTTACTTCGGTTGCATCTTTTAAATATCAATGAGAATAAATTGGGTACTTGTGCAGTACTGTACAAAATACTGTAGAATTGAATTTTCCTTTACCTGTTAAAAATTGAAATAGTCTTTAATTACTTTAAACTCAATCCATCATCTTGGCATGAAAAAAGATATAAATGGGAAAATTTTGTGTTTCTGCTTAATTATTTAAGATCAAATAATAAGAACCTGAATGAGCCATTTAAGATCTCAACCTTCCAACCTTGTTGCTGTGCATATTTTTAAGAATGTTCATAATCCTGCTGAAGTAAATAGCAAACTACTGATTTGTGGTTGTGCTTAAGGCAAAACACGTTTAAATCCTCTCACTATTGGGATATTAGTAGTGTAGTGCTTGTTTTCACATTTATGTAAGACCCATGCTTTTAGAACATATTGCTAACTGACATAGAGCTTAGCTTACCCATGTAATTGTCATCATATGAAGGTGGTGCCACTCCTGTTTGCTTCTCTCGTGCCAGTTTCCTCAGAATATCCTTGAAGGAGTAATTTGCAATGATATCTGCAACACTTGCAGTGATTACCTGACCTGGAAAAAAACAAATTCATAAATGAAAGCAACATAAAGGAGAGCCAGTTTCTACAAAATAGAGCTAGCAGAAAATCAGACGAGAACTGAAGGGATAACATAGCACAGATGCAAAGAGTAGAAAACTCTCAATCTTTATTACCCTGAAAGTCTCAAGAGTACCCATAAATCAGTAAAACAAGGCATTGAGACTCTATTGGACCACCCCAAAAACATCTCCAGACCCATTTCAAGGTGCTGATTCAAACTAAAGTCAAGCATTTTCAGGCTCAGCTACCTTTTGATGCTGTACAGTACAAATTTAGTAGACCAATGGAAGCAATTTCTCAATGGAGAATTCAAAGCTATTAATTCCCTACCTAGCAGATCTTCCTCCTTTAACAGCAATGCAAAACCAGAGGCTGACAATGGGCAAGTTGGTAGGCAGAGTCTGGGAATCAGCTATATCATACATGTCAAAATAGGGTAAAGCAAAAATACCCATTTAACCCTTTACCAAAACCACTTCAGGTTTTATCTACGTGAGAAACTACCTCTTGGAAACTACAGTGACGCCACAAATGGACTAAAAACATATGCAGATAGCAATAAAAGGTTGTGTTCAGAAACAAATAGTGACAAACATTTGTTGTACAAATATTAGCTATTTTAAAAATTGCAGTATTTCCACGGAAGAAGTCAACTTATTAATTGAATAACAAATGTGCTAAAATGCCAAAATAAAAATAGTTATTTCTATTTGTCTTGCTTCCTATACAACCTACATCCTGAATTTTCCCTGTTTTATTTTTATGTTCCACTGCTTGTTAAGCAATTCTTCTGACTTGTATTTGTTGAAAATAAGACCAGAGACTGGTTATCTTAAACTGAGAAAAGAATGGAAATCTAGAACAACATTGTCCACAGTACTTTCTGCTTCACTTCTTAGATCAAGTCAACCAGCCAGATGAACATACCTTGCCAGTAAAAACTACCGGGCCCGCCTACTATCAGGTCTCCGTTCTACAAAAAGCAGAATTGAATAAAATTACACAACAAAAGAACACAACAAAATTAAGCATATACAGGAAAAAAAAAATCCAAAAGAATATCAGAATCATGATAAAGGAGAATAGCCCCGTTCAAGGAAAGGATGTAGGTGCAGGGATGCGCAGGAAAACCCACAGGTAAATAAAGTTAAAATCACCCTATGCATCTTCACTTGAATGAAAGCCATAATTTTTGTAGCAATAACACAGCATTCTAAAAATTGCTTATTATTTGAAACAAAACAAAGTCAGCATAAAAGAGGGTCTTCTCATTCAATGAAGCAGTAGTAATGCTTTATAGAGAAATATACTTTTGTCAACCCTACAATGAGGTCTTTACTCCTCAGCGATTAGTAATGTAAATACAGTGTAGCTGCAGAACACTGAAAACTATAGCAATGATCAAAGTTATCTGAGGTCCTGGTGCTGTACTATTGGCACACATAACAACAACAGGTGCAAAGTTTATTCTTTGGCCCACAATATTGTTTCTGGACGCTCCTGGCATCCCTTAAGCACTTTCGCTTTCACTTCTACAAAAGAACAGTCTTAGTCAATGACTAGTCTGTCTCCAAAAGCATCCTGATACAAGCTATTTTAACTTTTAAGTACTAGCTGGTGCCTGCCTATTATTTCCTGAAAATCAAGTCTCTGGAAAGCATCGGAAGTGGGACACACTGAGATAGAAGCACATACAATTTTTCACCTATTTATCTATTAAGATAGGCTGAGCAGAGTCAGATTGGAATGCTGCAAAGAGATAAATAGGTGCTGATTGCAGTATTTCTTTTATTAATGAAACCAGAAAGTTCAAAGCTTGCAAAGGAGGAAAGAACTTGCAACAACTTCATGAAACTTTCCATATGCAACAGCATGGGGATAATCACTGAGACAGTGCTTGAACACTGGGGATATACCAGAGTTACATTTGGTCTAAGTACTTCAGAAGCAGAATCTTACCTTGTAAAAATCTAAGCTGAAACCTGCTTGACAAAAGCCTTGTCCTTCTGGATCTGCATTGCCTGCAATTATGAAGGTAGAAGCATTTTATTGATTTCACAGTGCATGTGGATGACAGCTTACACACCCCTGGAGCTGTAAGGTTGTAAATGCAAAACTACCCAAATATGTGAAAAGATGTGTATTCTTTTTCAGAAGAGGCAGATCATATCCAGACCTTCTACATGACCCTGAACATGCAGCCCTCTTGTGAAGATTTAGAAAAATAGGACCAGTTACTTGGGGCTTTCTAGCCAAGGAAGGACCCTTGCAACAACTACCAGGGATTCAGTTTGAATTTGGCTGGAGATGCAAAAGTAAACAACTTACGAAGAACTCAACAGTCACCACAGTCTGCTCTGTCATAAACACAAAAATAAGTGTTCACTAAGACATTCGCAAAAAATGTTGACATAGTGGATGGTTCAGTATAGGTCAGTGTTCAGACAACATCCTTGTTATCTGTACTATGGCAAGGGAAAGGGACACATGTCCCTCACAAGGGCCAGCCCTTCAATTGACACACATTTGCTCAATGACGACTGAAGTGGTAATATAATTTTGGATGCACATTTGTACATGCAAAAACATCTTTCCTGCTTCTGTCCATTTTTATTTCTAGTCTCCAAATCTTTATATAATTGTACAAAATGTGTTGGCATGCATTTTAGGACTTTTCTAAGAGCGCTGCAGTGCTGGAAGTCTGCAGGATTGGGAAAATGAGAGCAGGAATGGCCACTTGAACTCTCTTTTCAAATGCCATAAGCCTTTGGCAAAGCCCCAGTGAGACATCAGAAGTACATGACGCAGACTTTACGGTCACCGTTTCTTACAGATTCGGCTTCTTTCTGTACCTGTCCAATCAGTGACAAGGCTTAGGCTTCAAAAGGAAGACTTGGCAGCACAAGTCAATTTAGAGCTATGCTTCAATGTGAGAAAAGGAAAGCCACAGAGTAACACTGAATGTACATTGCTATAGGTGTGCAGATTTCCTGGTAGACCATGAAAAGCGTTTATCACCCATCTGTCAGATGTCAGGAAGATCCAGCTACATGATATGACGCTGTCCCTAGATCTTCACAGGAAAGAGACCTTTTAATTATGTGAAGTAAGTGTCTGCTTTTTCTGTAAGATGCCCGTTACCTTCCTGGCAAAATAATCCACGAGAAACTCAAAGGTAGGAGCAGTTTGCAGTAAAGGAACAGTTCAAAGGCGTGTTTTGAAATTAGCCCGTGTGCACAGGGTAAGAACGCTAGCTGCAATAGCAGGGGCTGTGTACAAGGGGTATTGTGACAAGGAACTACATTCAGACTTCTCGTATTATTGGCTAGCACATACAACTTGAAACAGCTACCCATCTCAGCTAAACTGAGCAACATCATAGCTTTGCTGTGGGGTTTCCTTTGGAAGGGATAGGTAAGCCCATCATATATGCTATCTTACACACATCAGTTTAGAAAAGTAACTGAAAGAACAATTCTGTGATCTGTGAGTGCAGAAACTGCCATACATCCAGCCCAGTTCAAAGCTCAGTAAAGTTACTGGATACTTCATATTGATTTTAATAATTTGGAGCACTAAGGTAATGACAGCATTAATAATCATCATAAGCACTTAGGCATAGGATGTTGAATAGGATGAACAACTGATTTAATCTAATGTGTGGTATTTTATGCAGACTTCTAGGTAACTGAACTTGGTTCTAAATATACATGCACTGTTTTTCCCTATTCCCCAAGAAGTAAGGTGCGGAGATTGCTACCACATCCTCAGAACAGCACAGAGAAGAGAGTGGAACTGCAGTGCTAATGTGCATAGCTTTCTTCCATGCTGGAAGTTGTTCTTAAATGAGCTTTTGTGGGTGATATTGGCATGAATGGTGATATAGGCTTGTGTGTTTCTGTGAAGGGTCTGGTCTTCAGATGGTGATCCTGTGATGAGAGACTTATACTAAGCGTGAGCATGAGTAATTGGTTTAAAATGCTGTCTGGTTCTTATCTAGATCTGTTTGCTACATTTTAAAGCCATTTAAATTGAACCAATTATATCTCATCACTATAACCACATAAGCTTAATTTACTTAATTTTTGCTCTTTCAATTATACAATAAAGCATCCAATTGCAGGCACACAATTTAATGTCAATTTTTCTATAAACCTTCATCCAATGCAATAATGTTACATAGTAATCTTCATTCAATCTGTATGAAGTATGAAGACTGAAAGGATGAAAACATTGAGTGCAATATCAATTCCTGCAACACAAGATTGTTCCTATTAATACTTACTGTTACGACAAGGTGAATATTCAGCATAGGCACTGAAGTTCTGAATTGCTACATAGCAGGTTCCAACGGGGTCCTTCTCAGGGCTATCTTTAAGGGTTCTCCAGTGATATAAGGGAGCACAAGCCTATCAAAACAGAAATGATGTCACACGTACCTTTCATACACTCATGCATCTGCCAAATGTAGTTTGTAACAGTATACAAGGATTCTCTCTGGTATTGTATCATTGATGTAGCAATGATCATAACATATTGACAGAAGAAAATGAAGGACCACTGCTTCTTATAATTTCATTATAATCTGAAAAACACAATCTGATCTTTCACTTATAGCCCTTAGCAAGTGAAATCTGTCAGGGACTACAACTGACATTTAAGCATATGTTACAAATATACCCTCTAAACCTGCTTCACAAGTAATACGTTTGCTCTATTACTGCTCACTGCACAGCACTTGATCCCATAGTTTAAGACGTACCTCACATACATGTGGCTGAAGACATTCCTACTTCTGTCCTGATATGTCTTAAGATAATGACTATCGCAGTAGAACTGCTATGATTCTACACAGCAGAAAGAGATTTTTCAGAGTGTTGTGTAATACTGTGCATCACAACCATCAGATTGTCTGCCTTCTTATAAACCCCTGGTTCAAATCTTTGGAGAGATGATACAGCTATAATGCACTCAACAGTCTCTCAGTGAACAGGTTTTTGCTAACTAAATTTTGGCTAGTGAACTAACATTTAATCTTGTGTGTTACGGTAGTGGTGTTACTGACGTGACAGTGCAAGGATAAAGCATATAGAAGTTGTGTAGAGAGAGGGGCTATCTTTTTTGAAAGCAATTCAAATAATTGGAAAAATAGTAAAAGATAGGCTGTTGGGTATGGAAGTCATTCTTCAGGTGTTCCTGTGCACTAAAACTGTTCAGTTGGCGGGGGGTGGGGAGAAGACACTGCCTCTCTCTACAACCATGTCTCTCTAAGATATAAACAAATCCTCCATTCATGTCCTACCTTGTCTTACTTTTCCAATCAGAAACCTGCCTACCTCTGGCAAGGCACTGTTATTACTCACATTACTGTATAAGCCTAAGTTCTGCAATCAGTTCCAGCTGAATAAACCACTGTGCTATTCAGAGCTTACCATAAAATTCAGAGCTTCTGCAATGCTGGTTTAAGGACCCAGGGACCCTTAACATGGTCCTGCCTAAAGGCCTTACAGATTAGAAAATACCACAGAGCAAAACCAGAGTGCAGCAAAGAGGAATATGTGTCCTTTGAGGGTGATTTTAGGTACGTTTGACATCGAGCAAAACGGATTCAAACAAAAATTATATATAATCATAAATGTTACCCTAATGTAGTTTACTGTCACAGAATCATAGAATAGTTTGGGTTGGAAAGGACCTTTAAAGGTCGTCTACTCCACCTCTGCCCTGCAATGAACAGGGACATCTTCAACTAGATCAGGTTGCTCAGAGCCCTGTCCAACCTGACCTCGAATGTTTCCAAGGATGGGAACTCCTCTCCGGGCAACCTGTTCCAGTGTTTCACCACCCCCAGCGTAAAAAAATTCCTGCTTATACCTAATCTAAATCTACCCTCTTTTAGTTTAAAACCATTACTCCTTGTCCTATCGCTACAGGCCCTGCTAAAAAGTTTGTCCCATCTTTCTTATAAGCCCCCTTTAAGTACTGAAAGGCTGCAATAAGGTCTCCCCGGAGCCTACTCTCCTCCAGGCTGAACAACCCCAAGTCTCTCAGCCTGTCCTCACAGGAGAGGTGCTCCAGCCCTCGGATCATCTTCGTGGCCCTTGTCTGAACCCGCTCCAACAGGTCCATGTCTTTCCTGTGCTGAGGGCTCTGGAGTTATACTCCAGGTGAGGTCTCACCAGAGGAGAGCAGAGGGGCAGAATAACCTCCCTCAACCTACTGGCCACGCTTCTTTTGATGCGGCTCAGGATACGGTTGGCTTTCTGGACTGTGAGTGCACATTGTCAGCTCATGTCCAGCTTTTCATCCACCAGTACTCCTAAGTCCTTCTCAGCAGGGCTGCTCTCAATCCCTTCATCGCGCCAGCCTGTATTAATACTGGGGATTGCCCCGACCCAGGTGCATTACTATTACATTTGTAGTTTAAAAAAAAAATTCTGACAGCTATATTACATTTTCTGTTTCTCTCCTTTTGGTCTACAAAGCTTAACAGACAAGGTTTTCTAGCTTCAGTGTTCAAGTTCTTGCCTGAAAAGTGTTGACTATATCTGTTTCAGAAAGCTTGAGAAGACTTATCAGAAGCAAAACAAAGTTTGGTCAGTACAGACACAGCACATCAGTCGGTGATGAGGTTTTCTGCTCATTTGCTTAAGATACAGCAAATGGTGGTAAAGGATGAGTCTATTTCAGTTTGTCAACTGTTGTTTAGTAGAGTATGTCAAATGAACAAAATTCAGTTATTTTTAGAATGTTTACATTGACAATTCAGAAAGGTGACATAATATTTATTCTTATAAATACTTTCTTTGTGTAATTAGCTTCTAAATAGAAAGTACATGTACAAAGGAGTGGTACATGAAGGCACTGGACAGGAAGTTTGAGAGCTCTGATAACACTGACACAAGTGACAGAGAATTAACAGCATATGCTAGTTCTGTAACAGAATAGGGTGATGTTTTATTCAATGCCTGTTTCATGTCAAAATCCTTCTCTAGGTTAACCACAAGGCATACTGTTTAAGGCAAAGTATTTCCTTTTGATAGTTCTTCCATTATGACTACTTCTTAAGTGATAATTGGAAGTTTTAAGCAAATCCCAAGACACAAATTATTGCTTTGCAATTGTATAAGCTAATAAAACAAATGACCAAACTAATTATTTTTATCACAATTATTTCGGCGACATTTTCAATGTAAACCTTAGTGCGTAAATTGTAAATATAAAATGTCTGTGTATAAGCAACATCAGCACTACTTTACCAAGCAATAAAAGTACTTGCCCCCTGCTGGGGTCTTCTGTCAATACAGGTAAAACATTCAGTGAAACTCTAAAGCAGACATTGCACTTTGACAGCAATCTTGATTTGGAGCTTTTTTATCATGACTTTTTTTGCCGCTGTTTTACCATGGCTATGACATAACTGTTCAAAACAATGTAAATGTGACAAAAAAGGTTGGTGCTTTCTCTTACTAATTGATCTTCAGCACAGGTTCTTGGCTCCTATTACATTCTGCATTTAACATTCCAAATAAAGCTTCATAACACAAAACATTTCATAGCATATAGCTATCAGTTACTGTGTATCTCTAAAATAAGTCCATTATCTGTTTAAAAGAAATCATCATTCACTTCCATAACAATATAACATTCTGCTATTTTCACGTGGCAGTGGGATCATCTTAACTTGATCAGTTCGACCTGTTTTTTTAGACTGCTTTCATTTTCTGAGTTATATACATCATCTGTTTTATAATTCAGGCATAATCATAGAGTTTTTTGCATAATCTACACAGAGAGCTATTAAAGATATGTATTTGAGAAAAATAAACATTATCTCCAAATGAATACCAAATGCATAAGACTTACCACAACTTTTTCTTTATGAGCTTTGACTGTTGCTCCAAACCACTGATTTGTCTTAAATTCAATAGGTTCCCTGGTGCCATTGACTTTAATTTTCCTGTTGTCTGACAAAGAAAGAAGCAGTATGTTGACAGCTTATTTTAAAAAGTATTACCTTGTGAATTATAGATACAAGTGAACAGACTAATGGATATATTACATTGCATCCACTGTCATTGTGCTACCAGCTTAACAGGAAATGGAAATTCTAGTATCGTTTAAGCTTTTTACTGGTCAGTGGAAAACACCTTAAATTCACATGTGAAAATTCAAAATAATTACACTTGAACTTCAGAAAAAAAATACGAAGAACTGGAAGAAGAAGTCCTCTATTTCCCCCTGCAAAAATAGAAAAAAAGTTTATGTGGAATTTATGAGGAAGAATGAATAAGAATCTACAAAAGTAGGTGAAAAGGCCTAAAAAGTTTTCTCATACGTGGTAGAAACTTTCCATGTAAAAAACATGTTCCATAATTAGTTTTTGTCAAACAAATGACATTTCTCAGCATGCTTTTTCAAAGACCAACACTACAGATAGCAAAGGACTTAGTTTTTAACAGAATTACATGTGTACACACTGTCACAAGAGACAGCTTCTTAATGTTGCTTTATATACACTCTTACAGATGTCAGCATAAGAGAAGCCATCTGGGCAAAGACTCAGGCCAATTATAATGCATTTCAGGTTTTAATAAAAAGCAGACATCCCTTCCTTTCACCCTTAGTTCTCTGAAGTAAACTGATTTCCCATATGTTCATGAGCTGTGCTCTTCCCTTACCAGTCATTCCTAATGAACTTCTCAATTTATACATAACCAGGGCATTACTCCTTCCCGCTCATATCTGCATTCCCTTATGTTTGTTTCTGGTTCTTATCAGGAGGGATTTCACAAGAATCAATCCTTTTTATTCACTTGAAGTGAAAATAAAACCATATACTGTCTGCTTTGGAATGTAGAAAAAAATGTAATGTCAGATTATATTGCATGGATTTACATACATTAAAAAAAAATGAAGAAAACTATCACCTTTAAAAAGCCAACACTTCATGGGATTTGCCCAACAGCAATAAAGGAGATATCTGAAAACTTTCCTAGGATGTTGGATCACCAGCTACCTCAGCTTATGGTAGCCTCATAAATATTACAGATATAAACTGATTAGGAAAGAAAAATGCATTATATTTGTTGAACAAGGGTACTCTATCTCTTTATTTTTCTAATAAACATGAAGGAAAGTTGAATGAGAATGAATCTGTGAAAGTCTGAAAGTCTCTGAGACAACATCTTCATACAAATGCTTGTTTCTGTGTTGCACCAATTACAGGAGCTAGCACGGAAATCCTTGCTTAGATAAGAGAGGTAAATTTCAGGAATATTTATATCTCAAAAATTCAGGAAGAACAATCTAAAATCACTCTAAAAATATTCATTTCAAAAGTACATTTTATTTAAGCTAGGCCTAAACTTTAAGAGTGTGGGAGACAGCGACTTTGACACACGGCGTTGTACAAGCTGCCAGCTTCTACCTAGTTGTTGGCAACACCACTTCTGATTATTTTTTCCAGTGAAGTCAGACCCTTTCAAACTTTAAAGGTTTCTTTTTTCTTTTTTTAATGCTCCAGCAGATCTGAACATGATCAATGTCCACAGATGAGGTCTTGATAGAAACAAAGCTTTTGAAGCTTGAAAATCAGCCACGGTCAGCTTACAACAGCCAATGCTAGCCTGGCTCTGAGGATACTCATGACTAGTATGCTAACTTAAAAAGAGCTTACGTTTTCAATCAAAACAGCACACTTGTCTACTGGCAAAGTATACTAAAATTTGAAAACAAGTGAGATTTTGAAACTTGGATAACTTCTCACAGGATTTAGAAAAAACATAGCTGAATCTATCAGTAAATCTGCAAGAACTGTAAACACACAACCACCCTGCTTAGTGGCATATGATGTAGCATGAATCCTTCATACTGTGGCATGGGATTTTCATTATAAAATAATCAGGAAAATATCAAGGACACACAAATTAATAAAGAGCTTTTTTTCCCTAGATAAATCTCTTTCGACAGAAATTCTCTAATCACCTTTGTTCAGGATCCTTGCTGGACCTATGGAATCATATTCCCAGTTTCTGAGGTTGTGTCTTAAAATGCAGTTTAGTCTTTTGTATATAACAACCATTCAGTATTTCAGATTGCTGTGAACCAGCTACTGCTTCCCCTAAAACTTCATCAAAATGAAGCTATATACAAAATTAACTTGTCTGAATACACATGGACAGTCACTACTGTGCCCTGATTGTATTCAATTAGACAACAAGGCTCTGAATGAGGCCGCTGTAAATGTCCACTTCTGAGCTACTCATCCACTTACAACTGAGGACATGATCTAGGACACAGTTCTTCCCTCCTAAAGCAAATGTCTGAGAAGGTCAGAAGAATCACGGCCTAAAAGTACTTAATTTTTTTTTAAACCAACCGTAGATAACCAGTTTAGACTAGACTCAGATAAAAACTATTCGTTTACTCAGATAAACCCCAATCTTAAAAAAACCCAAACAAACCAAACAACAAACAACAACAACATGAAGTTGTTATTTCTGTCTTTGGTACATCTCTCAAAACTGTGTTATCTAAGCATTTAAAAAAATAACATGTCTGTATCCTGCCAACACCCTTGTATGACAGGGAAATATCTCTCCATGTGTTATTTATGGGGATCTGAGGACCACAGGCTACGGCTATACTGTATGTTACCCACAGGCTAAGCTATATTTCTGTGAGCGGCAAAAACTTGGCTTGAATTCAGGTTGCATTCAAATGTCATCTTCTCTTCTAGAAGAGAATGCTTGGCCCCTTTTAGGAAGGAGTCCAGGCTATCTTGTATCACAATACGTGACGCTAGTGCAAGGATAGCTAGCATACAAGGCAGCAGCTGGGCTGGGCACACAACGCCTGAGCCTGTCCACAGAGCGGTCCAGGGAGTGCCTGAGTACCAGCTGGATTGCTTCAGAGCCAGCCCAGGAGCTGTTCCAGATGGTCAACAGTCTGGATGACTCGCAAATTTGGCTTGAAACTCAGCCCTGGAGTCACTCTTAGTTCTACTGCCTAAGACTGTATTGCAGACTAAGGCCCAGACAACCAGGAATATGCAAAGAGCAGAGAGATGTGTAAGTACAAATCCAGGTGCAAGGACATCCCTAAACTGCATTTCAGCAACTCCAAAGCATGTTGTTTTCTACTGCAGGAGCCAAGACTCCTATACATTGGTACTGCCCCACAACCCACCTTCAGAAGCAACTCTGGAGATGGTGAAACATGATTCTCAAAATCAGTGTTCCTTAACTCAGTCTTTTAGACTTGAGGTACCTAGGGGCTACCGAAGGAGAAAAGGCCCCTTAAATTGCCAAAGCAGTAGCTGGACAAGCAGAAAAGTTTGAATCCAAACAGTAAAATGCAAACCTATGTAAGAACAACAGTGTAGAGATTCATTGTTAGGAATTAAAGTTTGAACCTGGAAGCAAGTGTTAATGCAAATCCATTATTTGCACGCATTAGACTAAATTTGGCGCTTTCTACAGGGATTGGTCTCCTCTCAGTCACTGAGTCGGCACATTATAAACTGTTTATCACACATGAATCAAACATTACTCTTAGAAACATTTCTTTGTTGTAGTAATCAGGATCTGCATAAGAAACAGATGTATTTGCAAACACTGATAGTGGCTCATTGTGATTCATTCAGCTCTTGAAAACTAGAAGTAAAAAATGCAGCATCTATTATAATTTGAAAATACTCCAATGAACAAAAGCAAATGAAAATATTTTCATTAAACTTAACACAGGAAAACAATGCTTCTGATTAAAGCAACAAATCTGGCTATGTAATACACCTGCAACTCTTTCAGGTAAGTTCTCACTCTTCAGGAACTTTGAAAAGTATTATCTTTACTTCATGTGTGTTTGCCTGATGTACTGGATGAACGCAGATGGCCATTAACCAGGCACCTGCAGCAGGCTCAGTTACACTCTGCCCTCTAATCTGTACCTACTCAGACTACATCCAGGATGGCAAATCCCTTTCAAATACCTATTTTAATATATGTGTGAGTGTGCATATATCTATGCACATGCATACATATAAATAAAAATAGATGTCAAATGTAATATATATGTATTTCATATATTTATACATAATTATATATACATAGAGTAGAGGCGAATAATCACCTCAACCTATCCGTATTTATATAAAATGGGAATAGAAACATATAAATACAACAAACTTTTATATTTCTATAAATATACACAGGTCAAGGAAAGAGAATATCCCCTTACATGGAGACAACACCTGGGATGCTATGTACAGTTTTGAGACACCAGGACAAGACTTGCAGGTGTTTGACCTGAAGAACAGAAAGTAAAGGAGGATCTATGTGCACTTCATCCAGTGTTCAATAGGTAAAGAGAAGAGAGAGCCCAACTCCCATTTGAGGTACACAGCAAAAAGAAAAAAAAAGGCAAAAGAAACAAGTTACAGCAAGAGAGTTTCTGATTAGATATAAAGAAAATACTCTTCACAGTGAGGGTGATAAAGCACTGGGACAGATTCCCCAGAGAGGCTGTGGCATCTCCATCCTTGGGTAGTCTCAGAACTTGGCTACACAAGGCTCTGAGCAACCTAATTTAACTTTGAAATCTGCCCTGCTGCACCATTAGGGTCCTGCCTTACAGGAGGGAAGAGGGAGGGAAGCGTTCACACTGACATACATGGTCCCATATTCTAGAAGTGAGGGAAGAGAGGGGGTCTTGTCACCCTATCACCATGGCAGAGTCATTTTTTTGGTATCACTGCCAATACCACCCATTACTAAGCAAAGTAACATTCACAGTGTCATTGATATTAGACCCTCAACAGACAGACAGAATACAAACGCAAAGCTAAAGACTATGATCTAGGGAACCAAGCCAAGCAATTGCCTTCAACATTAATGCTGGGGAAAAAAAGGACTCCATAGTGTTTAGAGACAGTAAGGACATGCAAAACCCTTGCATAACGAGAAGA